CCAAAGAAAAGCCATGAGAATCCCTAGATTGCACACCAGTTCTGAGTAATGCAAACTCATCCAGAAGTAAAGGTGGAAAACACTAGATTCAGTGGGCCTTAAAACTCGTAGCCAATCTTGCCATGGTTGAGCTGAAGCCTGTTCTTCTCCATCCAGATCCTCACAGGCTCCAAACATTGAGATAGAATCCTCCTGGCATCCTTTGATTGGCCTGGGATAGAGATGTAGAGCTGGGTATAATCAACATATTGATATCCTCAATGGTGCCAATGGATGACCTCACCCAGCAGTTTCATGTACATGTTAAGAGTGGGGAAAAGATCGACCCCCTAAGGAATCCCAGAGAATGGGGGCCATGGACTAGATTTCTCCTCTCAGCACTGATTGCAACTGGCCCTGGAGAAAGGAGGAGAACCAATGCAGAAGTGTGCCTCCTATTCCTAATCCCCAGAGTTGGTTTAGAAAGATAATATGATTGAAAGCCACCAACAGGTCAAGGAGAGTCAGGATGAATGCACTACCCCATTCTACTTTTGCTAAAAATAACTAAGAAGTGTGATCAGTGCCATTGCAGGCCTGTACCTAGGTCTAAAACCCAATTGAAATGATTCAAATAATAATCTTCATTAAGGAAGGATTGGGGATAGAACAAGAGTTATCAAAAAAGTCAGATCTAGTAATGGCTTATTGAGGAGTAAACCATAGTTTCTTTAAACAGTGATAGGACCACCCCTTTTTTTCAAGAACAAATTCATCACACAGTTACATCAGCTAGATGTAGTTCATTTTTTAAAAATTCAAGCCTCATTTGGGTGGCTTCTTCTGCCTCACCAATTATAGTCCTCTCCACTCTGGTTTTGGAAGGTTATTCTATTGAGTTGAAAATTTCAAAAGCCAAAGACTGAACTTAAAAAATAGTGTTCTGCATCACCTTTCAGAGTTGTACCTTCAGTGAAGGATTGGGTCCACAGTAATGCTACATTCTTTCTTGAGCAAAGCAACCCCTGCCCCCCAAATATTGTCACTGGAATTGAAAGCCTCCAGACAATTCAATAGTGTTGGATTCTATTCTCTCCATCTGTTTCCCAGAAGAAATAATATAAAATAGCATTTCTCCTCCCCATTCAAGGATGGAAAACAAACTGATACGCTTTTACTGAGCTATGACCTCTGGAGGAACCCAGGATTGGTGAGCTGCAAGTCTGAAGCTATCTTTGGACACTAGGACTGGTTCCACCTTAAAAAAAGAAAATAAAAACTTAGCATGGTAATTTTTGTTGATATGATCACCTCTACAATAAAGCAGTGCCACAACTTTCCTTGGAAAGTAGCACATTTGGGAAGAAGCCATAAATAGGTTTTAAATCTCAGCTTGCATGCTTGTCAGTCTATAACTGCATCAAATGTAGGGGAGTTGGGATATAAACTATTAAAACATAAAAATACTATGATTACAAGTATTACATGGTATTCACTATAGAGCTGCTGCTATAAGACTCCAGATTAGTCCCCACCTCCAGCATTACTCCTCCTTTGATACTCGTATAAAAAAGAACATAGGCAAGTAGATAATTGGCTGCCTTGGGACATTGGTGAAGATCCAACCTCATGTCTAAAAAAGCTTTTGAGCAGTAAGTAGAGATTGTATTAACCTGAATCTACTCTTGCTACTCCAAAGTAATTACTTTGTCATTGTAAAGTGCAGTCTGGTATAGTAGTTAAGATATTAGACAAGACCTGAATAATTCAATAAACTCAAGATTTTCAAAAAGCTAGTATGTCTTCATAATAAATCCCAGTAACTCTTAACATTAGTAAAAAGTTTCAGAAAAACAACATATTTCCATTCAATTTCCTTAAGTCCAAAAAGAATTTCAGAAACCATAGTAACATCTGTTGCAACATTAAGATGACCTGGATGACATCTGCAATAAACAACCTACTGTTATTTATAGTTGCTTTACAAACAGCTATAGTTGTTTGGAGATGTCAGAGCATAAACAAAAAGATACAATTCTCAATGTTAAAAAGTGAATTTTTGGGAGCAGGGGAGGAATCACAGAATTTATTCCCACAGCTTAAAAAAGCGAGCAAAATGCCAACCTAATATTCTATGCCAACTTTATGACCTGCCAGAAACTTTTCTTCAGAAGCTCTGCCAGATGCTATTGCTGGATTTCCAACTTCCCTTGGAGATATGTTGAGCCTATTTATGTATTCACGAACAAAGACTTTATCTTAGGCTGTACACAGGCTAGGCTTTTGATCAGAATTGAATTTCACTTTAAATGTTTTCCTAATCTAATCAGGAGTGATAGGATTGTTCATATTACACCCTCCATTTGTGTATGATAGAATAACTTTGTTCTAAATAATAGAGCTGGTAAAAAACCCCCCAAAAATAATAAATTTGAATAATATAAGATATCACATCTTAGAACATCCAGATTTGTGTAGCGGTTAAGGTATCAGGCTAGAAACTGAGAGATCATGAGTTCTAGTTCTACCTTAGGTACAAAGCCAACTGGGTAACCTCCCTCTCTCAGCCCTAGGAAGTCAACATTTAATACAGCTACATGTTTGATATGGAAAAAAATTGTGTTATGCAGTGCCTGTTTTAATTAATATAGTAATTATTTTTAGTCTTAACAAAATGAGACCTTGAAAATACCTTTTTTTCATGTCAAATAAGTAACTTGTTCAAATTTTTCTGGAGTAATAACTAAAAGAATATAGAATATAGATTATGAGTACACAAAGTGAATCTGTGAGTAGAACTAGGATATTAGCTTGGAAAAGAAAGGTTCCCCTGTACATAAGCAGACTTTTCTTACTCATAGGACAATAGGGTTATAAATTCAGTTTTCAGTTTGTTAGCAAACTAACATAACAGTAACACACATTCTATGAGCCTTTTTATACTTTTTAAAATCTAAAATGAAGTGACTAAGTTCTTGAAACCTGAGTCATTCTGAGATTTGTTCAACTGTTTGCCAATTGTAGAGAAGGTGCTAAACTGATGGGGACGTACTGAATTATTTGCATGTTTTTTTACCAGTTTAGAAAAAGCAGAAACTGAGGTGACATACAATTGCATTTAAGAAAAGATACTGTATCTTGGTTTTGAGGCCAAACATGATTTCCTCTCATTGCCTTGGCTCAAACAGAACAAAAATCTTACATAGGAAAGATGCAGAAATAGCCTCCATTTTACATTACTGTAGCTAAGATAGATTTCAGGTGAATGAAATCTAGCTTTTTTCATAGCAGTGACTAATTTAAAGGGCACTGATGCCAGTCTGTTTCTAGGAGACAGCACTGGCAATGGCCTAAACACCACCCATGTTTATCAAGAGTAAAGAAGTAAATTACGTGCAGTGTATTCATTCTTGGTGATCACAAGAACCAGAATAAAAGACTAGACACCCCCTTTCTTCTCTACCATATAGGAAACTGGTCTTTCAGCACAGGAGATCTTTATAAACAAGTTCAATCCCTTTTAATGTTTCTAAAATTAAAAGCTTATTTGACATGGCGAATTCATGCTTTCAGATAAACCATAGAAAAGTACTTCATTTTAAGAAACATTTATAAGAAAACTAATCAGTGAAAATGTGGGTTTAGAAAGACACTACAAACAATTTACATCTTGGAGACAGTTTGCTGCTAAATGTGAGAGTGACACAAAGTGGTTCATCCATTTAGGTGCTAGTCTTCTTGTTTTTCCAGATCCATTGTAATGCTTATAATAGTGCTGTACAAAAGTAAAAAAAGCAGCAAAATATGAAACATAAGTACTCAGCTGTATCTGTATTCAGCTCTAATGAAATTAGTTAATGGAGGAAAAATAAATGCATTTGAAATAAAATGCATATTACACATTATTACATATAGCGAGCTTTAAAAATTATTATTTAACTGTGCAGAATCCTGACATTAACTAGAATGTTACTGGGAAATAAAAATTATGTTCTTTAAAGTAGCTACCTCCTATAGATTTTGTATGAATTGATGAAGTGATATATATATATATATATTTAAATTTAATTCACAATATCCCTTTGACTTTGGTACATTCGGTGCAAAAAATAGTTTCAGGAATACCTTACCTTTATAAAAATAAAGGTGTGTGTTTGTGTGTGTGTGTGTGTACCCCCCCCACATACACACATCCCTTAAGTGTGTAAAGAATTGAACACAAGAACTATTTAAGCATGGAAAAGTGAAAAGAACAAAAAAAGTCTATTTTCTTATTTACATCCTAAGAAAATCAATATTATGAACTTATAAAAATAAACAAAAGTCACTGTGTAAGAGGCTTTCTTTTTCCTGATATGCTGTGATAAACTCACATTATTTTTTAAAAAAGCCTTCATGCAGTATAAAGAATAAAGTTAACCATTAATCTCTTACAATAGCTCTCCTTCTGCTAAACATGATTTGCATATACAATTGTACAGGTTCTCCTAATTAAAAGTCCTTCTGTTCACGCCATCTTTTGCTGCCAACTTTTTTTCATACCCTTGTTAAGCTGCAGAAAATAACTGTTCTTTGTGCTGTATCTTTGAAATGCAATAGATGTCATGCAGGCACACATAGATTTAGGTATAGCATATATAGTATATTCTTGTATTGTGTAAGACATATAGTAGTGTACCATTGGGAAATAACTCCTATTTGATTTTTAAAAAGCATTTTTACTTATCCTCTTACAATTTAGCAGCAAGCTATCAATCTTTGTATTTCACTGAACTCTGTTCAAATATTTTGATGAAATCCATTTTTGAGATGTATTAGATTTTGCAGCTGTCTAATTGTTGCTAATCTCTTGTCATTTTTTAAAAATCTGATTAAATTTTAAACATTTGGTGCTCACGAGAACAAGGCCACAACCCTTGCTCTAGAGTACTCATGCAGCTGTTACAGTTTTTCTCATTCATAAAGTCCCATTCTTCCAATTGCACTGTACAATAGTTTTTATCTTTGCAACTTGCTGTAAGCATTTATGTATTTTGGGGGAGTGATCCACAAAAGTCCCAGATACTGGGTTAGACAATTCGTGTCTTATTCAAGACCAAATGTGCTCGTCTCTTCGACAGCTGTCAACAGCTTCTCGTAGAGCATGGAGAACGATGGGTAAGGAGGAAGGTCAAGACGATTGAAACAAGTGTGAGCTCTGGGGAAAAATGGAGAGAAAGTTTTTATGACACCAAAAACTAAGAACAAGAACTTCTTCCCCAACATACTCTAATTTGGAAGTTAATTTATTCCTAGATTAAAAGATGAATTGTAAACACATTTATTGTTATTTTTCTATGCCTCTGCTTAAAAGCACTATAAAAGCGGGCAACTAAATTTCATTTTTGATGTGTGCCGTTGTGCCCACAATAAAAAAATGACAATAAGGTTATCTTATCTTATCTAGTTGTTTGCTCCAAAGCAGTAACCAGTATGTAGTATATTTTTTATTTATATTTTTAGAAACCTTTTACAATGTTTTCACTTTTCAAAATTACTGGGATGAGGGGGAGGGGGGAAGGAGATAAATCTTTAAAGAAATTAAAATAAAATTAAAAAGGTAAAGCAGTCCTTGCAGATTTTATTTGCTAGGTGTTGCCAACTGTAGGGGGTGGTGCTCATCTCCATTTGGCATTGTGCCAGCACTGTCCGAAGACGTGTCCACAATCATGTGACCAGCATGATGTCAGTGCTGTTACCTTCCCACCAAAGTGGTTCCTATTTATCTACTCGCATTTGCCTGCTTTCGAACTGCTAAGTTAGCAGAGCTGGGGCGAGGACAGGAGCTCATCACGTCATAGGGCACTTGGGTCTTGAATCTGGGTTGTCGGCTTTCCAGCGGACAAGCCCAGCATCTTAACCATGGAGCCACCAGGTACCTCAGTTAAAATAAGACTTCCTAATATTTTCAAGATTACGAATCATAGCTTTTCAGCAGCAGGCCAAAAGTCACTTCCAAACAGTGGGAGTAATCAGAATGAAAACAAAACTAGACTTAATTCAATAGAGTTGCTATTACTTTATTAAAATATATTGAAAATTATTCATTTAAAACAGAGGCAATATTGTTCTGGGCAGCAGTTCATTACTCTCCTATTATATTGTATTTCAGAGTATCAAATTATCTCTATTACAACTTTGATAAAGTTCTTGAGTTCAGGAAGGAAGACTATAGTAAGAATTCCCCTGGATTACACTGTATTTATTGATAATTTTCATTTTCCAATATGGTAACATACTTCCTTAGATAATATAATTTTTATGACTGTGTCCATTAACCTTTCCTTTTAAAAGAATTCATTCTTAGTTTCACCATAAAATAAAATTACTCTGGATCCAAAACCCAATATAACTTGGCAACAAGTTCCAGGCATGGAAGTTCAAACTAATTACACACAAACAAGAAGGGACTAAACTGGATGAGATAAAGCAGCTTCACTGCTTAGTCTCACACCTGTCCATCCTCATCCTTATGAGTAATGCTCATTCATAAACACATGCCTCCCCCTTTATCACCCTACATATTTCAGCATGGCTGCAACATTTACCATCATGGCTCCAGTGAGCTCAAAGTGCAGGAAGACAAGAAGAAGGATGTATCTCAATTCTGTTTCCTTTATATCTCAACTGTAATAAGTTGAAAGTAAATCGTGCACATAGGAGCAAAACTGGTTCCCCATGACAGTAAAGCCTGATCTTTATTGACCTGAGAAAAATTCAAGGAAGACTATAAGCTTAATGTGTCTCAGCAGATCTTAAACTAAGAATGTATTTGCAACTGAAAACTCAGACAGGTTAGACGGTATTTTAAATCAGCCTCCAGTAACACAGCAGCAGATTCTTTGAGAGAAATCTCCCTGCCTCCAAAAGTGAGTAGTCAGTATCAGGCAGCATCTTTTACTATTGAGTCCTTGAAGAATTCTATACACAAGTGCTGTGGAACTGAAGAAAACTTTCTTTTCAACCAAAGAGATTGAGATTGAGACACCAGTTAGTCTACAGGGGATCAAAATATGATTTCTTAAATGTTTATGATTAATCTTATGTTTTATTTAAATATGTTTACATCCATACATACACTTAAATAGTGCTTACATGCTTATAAATATTGTTAAGTCACGCTAAAATTACGCGCCCAGGTCAACAGCAAAGCAAGGATATGTCAGAATTAAAAATTAATGAAGCCCATTTTCAGGCATTCAAGGTGTTAACATTTATTGTAATCCACACGAAAAAGAAAATCAGGCTGTTTTATTTCACTCATTCTCAGAGGTACTATTCTTTCTCAATCTGAGAGGTAATGGGTATAAGCACAAAAGATTTTCCAGCACACTTTAAATTAACCACAGTTCATATGCCAGGATATGACAAGCTGCTTTTAAGGAAAAATAGAAGCAAAAGTTTACAGGTATGTCACAGGAAAGGGGATGAGAGAAAGAATCAGCCAAAGACTTGCTGCCACTTGGTAAAAAGAAAAAAAAAACATCCAGTGCTGCCTCAGAAGCTCACTGTTGCCTTCGGCTCAACACATTACAATGTTTTGCAGAGCAGAACAAAAGGATCTTTTTGACTACCCCTTGACAGATACTCAGATTAGTAACTTGGAGGTAGCAGAGATTCAAGGATACAACTCTTGATAAACTAGGTTTTTTACAGGTATCGGAAAAGCTGTAACTAGAGCAGAAAAGCAGCAGCTATAAATATAAGACTGCGGCCATCTCTCTCTTTCTTCCAAATCTTCTGTCTCTTTCTCCTTGCTTGTGCATCCTGACAGACTGAGAGTCAATTACTTCTCTGAGGAAGGAGCAGCTGATACTATGCTGTCACATTGTAATATAAGGTCATCATATTGGGTATGACTAGGCAATTGAAGCCCCACCCCTGTTTAACATGTGCAGTCACTGTGGACACTTTTGGTAAGACACGTTTCTGCTACTGACTTTGGTGCTTCTAGCTCTCACCAGATCTATCAGCTAAAAGTAGCATCTTCTGTTAGTACTAGTCTTTTGGATTTTCCCCACATCATTGGGTTTTCAATACTTGCCCAAAGAGTCTGCTTTCCACTTCTTTTAACAAACATTTATTCCTTGACACAGACATATAATACTATATTCTACCCAGGACCATAGTCAGGCTAAGCAGCTGAAACAACAGTCAGATATTATACATCAATGGGAAAACACAGAGATACAACAAAATGGGGCAGAAAAGAATAGTTTCAAAACAATGTTGCTATGTTTTTATTTCATGTAGAAAATTGCTGAAAAGGCAGAGTGTTTTTGGAGACAAAAATAAAATAAGAGTGGTTTTAAGTTTCACAGTAAGCAAATCTAAGGAACAGGAAACAAATTATGCTGAATCCCTCGACTCTTTTATTTTAAAAAACCCAAAATCTTCTGCTTCCAGTGGATTTATTTTAAACATTCTGAGAGTTAATTTACCTGGGCAGAGCAGTGATTTTGCCCCATTTTTCTACACAGAATCTTCTTGGTCCATTGCTTCCTCTCAAAGAAGCAAAACCTTCATAAGGTATACTGGATGTACCTGTAACAAACTGGAAAATAACATAAAACACTGTAACTATTATTGAAAAGTATGACTGCATAGTTTTATTTTTATTTTCTATTTTTAAATATATAGATGACCCCCTACATGCATTTATCTGGAAAATTATAAAATTTGTTTTACAATTGTGTTTATAGAAAGGGCAGTCGAGACAATGCAGTCAGGAAGCAAACACAGATTCAGCTTTTGAAGGGAGATATAATGTACTAAATGCCTCAAGCTACAGTCTTTTCATTGGGATTCCCCATATCAAAACAACTTACCTTACGTGCGGCCAGAACTTGAAAATAACATTTAACGCAGCACAGTATTTAAACAAAATGGTTCGGTTGAGATCTGCATATGTGGGACTGATTGGGGTAGATTGCAAGGGTGACTCCAAGATATAATTTTGTCATATTTTATCTATATTTTAAATTACTGTACTCTATTTTAATTTCATTTTAGACTGTATTTTACTCCAATTTCATCTTAAGTCATATTTTACTCTAGTTCCATTTTAAACTGTATTTTATCAAATTTTATTTTAAATTTCTTTTATCAGACTTTGGTAATGATTTGTTGCTGGAACTGTGCACTTTTGATATGGCCCAAGGGTTAATCAATAAAGATTTATTATTACAGTCTTTTCAAGACTTTATTGAATCTGGTATAGAAGTATGTTGGTGGAATATACAGTACTTCTGAACAAGCATACTGGATCTGGCTATGAGAGCTTTTGAGATTATCCCTACACCTTCCTTGTCCTGCTATAGAGACAGCCCACTTACTGCTTTCTGAAGATATATCAATGAGATAAGTTGAAGGCAGATCAAGGTGATTCATACAGGAATTATAAATGGAAAAAATGCAACAATGAATGTACCACTGACTTACTCCCACTACAGCAACCTATGATTAAATATTTAAAACAGAAATCCCTGCTCCCTCAAAACCTATAATTGTTGCTTTCATATGAATGAATCAGGAAAGGAGTGAGAATTATTTATCAACCCATTCAACAATTTTGAGATTCCAACTTTTCATAGTTTTTAATAGCTTTTTATGTTGATGTCAACTACAATGATGCTAACTGCAACCTTACTTGTAAAAGCCGTAATCGCTGCTCATTGTTGAATCTTTCCACAGCAGCCCAAAACCATCGAATTACAATATGATTATCATGGTATCCTGTTTAATAACAATTAAGAATATATTAGTCAGGGCAATTAAGAATATATTAGTCAGGGCAATTTTGGTTTTAAAAAATAATGAGAAAATGTTAAGAACTGAGCAATATTAGAGGTGTAGGCCCTAACATTTCCTAAATTAATTTATAGAATCTTATGTCATATATATGTGATTAATTCTTGTTCCCTTGGTAGACTTTCAGAATGTAGTGTCATGTTTGGACATGAAGCTTCACAAAAATGTACACGGGTTAAAGCATGAGTTAAAAATTACTGATGATAGAAAAATTGAAGGAATGATGGATATACTGTTTAAAGAGAATAAGATAAAGAGACAGAAAATCAGCCTCAGGAAATAATGGGAAATTAAACTGAAGGATTTAAACAACCTAAGATAAAAGTATGGCAAAGTAGTTTGGGATGATTCCTATCATAGTATCTATCAAATCTATTTTTATTAACCAATATATTTGAAAGTCTATTTTAATATGAATTAATAAAGCATTGAAAAAACATAGGAGATTACTGAAAGAACCCTCATATCAGAAGGAATCTCTTGAATTCATGAGTTCTCAGCTAGTACTGTAGAACAGACTACCACATGAAATGATGAGTTCTCCTCTGCTAGAAGTCCTCAAATATAGCCTGGTTGGTTATCTATCAGAGATACTGTAATAAATAACCACTGGGTTAGGAATATTTATTGTTGATGATTTTAATGTTTTTTATGCTGTAAGACGCCCTGAGTCACTTGATAGCAAGATGGGTGGCAAATAAATTTAATAATAAATAAATTTAAGAAATACTCTAGGGCAGAGGTCCCTAATCTTTTGGGCACCAGGGACCGGTTACATGAAGAGAGGTTTTTCCACGGACCGGGGGGGGAGGCGTGGTTTTGTGTGCTGCCTGCATTCCGCAGATGGGGCTGTGCTTGTTTGTGCGGACTGGTTGCTGGCATGCCGCAGCCCAGTACTGGTCCATGGACCAAGGGTTGGGGACCCCTGCTCTAGGGGGTCCTCTAGGTTGGATTAGATGACCTCTACAGTACTTTCAAACTCTACAGTTTTATGATTTAATCTTCCCGAACATTATATACAAATATAAATATATAGGTGAAGATTCCAAGAATTATACAACATACTCAAAAAGATATTTTGGGCCTATGTTTTCTGAATGTCAATCTAAATCACAAATACATAAATGCTCGTATGAGAAGACATTTTTTGTAATAGTGGTGCAAGGGAATATCTAAAATAAAATAAAATATACCATATGAGATCATTTTTAAAGAAAATATATTTAAAATTCTACTGAACACAAGCAACTTATTTGAATCCCAAATGTGTTTACATTTATTTTAAAACATGGATGTATCCATGTTTTAATTATTTATTTCCATTTATTTTCTTTAAATCAATACCTGTGTCTGCACTATCAACAGATACTTTTAACCAAAAATCTCAGTACTTTGTATAAGCATGTTTCAATTCACTTCCAGAAATAATGTCCAAGTACAAATTAAATCAACTGTAACTGTCATAGAAATGTCTGTGAAGGTAAGTTTGAAAAGCCTCTTTCCCCCCAACTTTTGCCATCTTTACTATCTGTTATAAATTAAATACCAGTGTATCTTCATATCTCAGACTAACTTACTTGATCTCACATATTGCTAGTTATGCTGTTTTGGATTTTACCTCTTTTATCAAATGAAAGGCTTGCCCATTCCAAAAAGGGAAACCCAAAGCCTTCTGAAAACTTAAAATAAGAGCATATGTTTGTGAAATTACACTGCAAATTAAAATAGTTTTTGGGATTCTTCTAAAATAAAAAACACACAAAACAATCACACTTTTATTTAATTCAATTTAACTACAACCAACAACATATATATATATATATGTATGTGTATTTTAGAAGATGTTACCTCCTCTATATTCAGTGTTATTTCTCCAGTCACTTAAGTCAATTTCTGCAGTGCCAGCAATAACCAATTCTAGTTCTCTTGCATCAAATACAGACACCAGTCTAGCATCAACCACCTAGGAGAGAATATATATTCAATATGTATCCTTTGCTGTTTTTATTTTCGCCAACTATTCTATAGGTTCCACAATTCATAATACGGTAACTTTTGTTTCAACATTTGCATATAGCTACTAAATTTGAAAGAAAAGTATTTTCCTCATTTTCTAGTAGGTTGTTAAAATATAAGCAGAGCATTAGAAGGCATATTCATATCACAAATAATATGTGGAAATAACTCCAAGCGGTGCATTCTCAACATCAAATTTTGATGCTCCAGGCAGAATTTGTTCCACTGAAGTTAGACAGAGACCCATAAATCGCTATCAATATACTGTATAGAACAGTGATGGCGAACCTTTTAGAGACCGAGTGCCCAAACTGCAACCCAAAACCCACTTATGCATCGTCGGGTGCCAGGTGGGTGTGGCCCATTGACTGGGTGTGGCCAATTGGGGTGTGTGGCCCATTGGCTGGCCGTGGCCGTGGTGGTAATGGCAGACTGGGTGGGACTAAAAAATTCAATCAATCAATTCCAACTTTGCAAGATCTTTTTTTTTCCGCGAGAAGTTGAAATTGATTGATTGAACCTTTTTTTTTTTGCAACACGGCAGCGGAGGCTAAAGTGAAAAGGTTTTATAAAACCCAGCTGAAGGGCTAGGACTGGGGCGACGACGCGCGTGCCCACATAGAGGGCTCTGAGTGCCACCTCTGGCACCCGTGCCATAGGTTCACCACCACTGGTATAGAAGGAATTGTGATTCTTGACCCTAAGGCTGATTTACTGCCAGGAATATTCTATGGCTTTTTCTTGTAGTAATATCCCCCGATGACAACCATCTAGAAAGTCACACCAATGGTGTAATTAGCCCACTACTGTTAACATTGACTGGTGATAGTTCTTCAGGCTTTAGCCAGACATTTTTCAAGCCCTATTTGGAAATGCAGGAATGAAACATGGGAACTCGTTGCATGAAAAGCATCTGCTCTGCACCTAAGAAATAGGTTCTCCCATCATGCAGCTTGTGCCCCATCTGAATGACTTGAGGGGAGAGAGTTGAACTTAAGTACAACTGAAAGTCTAGGTAATTGCAATAAGGAAAATGTGCAACTTCAAAATGTAGCATAATTGTGCTCTGTCAACTTCTAACTGGTTACCATCTTCATGTGTAACGATTATTACATTTTCTAGTTGCCTGACTTTGGTGACATTAATGACAAATCCTGAGTGGAACAACTTCAGAGGCAATACAGTGGTTCCCAGCACGATTTAAACAGTTGCAGGGTAAGAAATAATTATGAATCATACATAATCCCAATACATGCCAAATGCTTTAGGCACATAATGCATGCAATATATGAAAACAGATTTATTTTTTACCTCATAAAAACCACGTACTAAACTTTCTGTCTGCTGCACCACACCTCTCTCAATTCTCCATTTCACCATTCTTTCTATATACTCCTTCTTGTTCTTTTCTGTGACAGGGATGTTGGCACCTCCAGGTTTTAATTCCCTTTCAGTAATCTTAAAAGCAAATTACCACCAATATATTATAAAGCAGGATCTATTGCAAAGAGAAATTTTAATGTATCAAAGTGGTACTAATTCCCCAAATGACTGATAAAAATCCTTCTGAAGTGGTCAAATTTGGTCAACATAGAAAGAGCTATTTTTATCTTTGGAGTTAATGGCATCAAGTACAAAACTTGAAAGCATCAAAAGGGGAAATACAAAGAAGGCATTCTAGAAAAGGGAGTTTAGCAGCACTTCCTAATGTACATATTAGAATAAGAATTCATGTACAATGAAGAATTCTTATCCCAGGAGATTTAAAACATACTACCGTATAACATCTGGATACCTGCTGCTAGCAGCACTGCTATCTGTAGGAAACAGCTTCCACCCCACCCCTTACTCCAAATTATCCCTGTTTCAGAACTACCTCAATTACAACACCGGAGGACTGTTTGAAGTGGCCCAGTCAGGATTATTTATCCCAATTACTGTTTGATTCCATACATACAGCAGGATACATTTAGATTTGGGATTTGTTTAAGTACCAATTATGGTCATAAATTGAGGACTACCTTTATTCTACAGTTTTAAATAGTGGCTTTTAGGCAAAATAAGCAATGTACCAAAGCAATATGTGAATGACACCTTACCTGGAGGTTTTAGTGTTCTCTAAGCTTGGTTGTTTCCTTGCAAATATTTGCAAGCAAACAGCCAACTCAGAGAATACCAGGAACAATACAGTTCTACCCTAAACTACATATATTCTATTGGAACATTATCTTATACTGGAAGCAAGATGATCCAGGAAGACAATTAGAAGCATTGTACAAATAAGTGCCATAAGACTGCCCTTGAAAGAAAAAAAAAGATTGTCCACACCTGTCCAAAGACTTCTTCATTTACAGTGAATGTGAGATCTAGGATATCATGTATATCATTGTCTTTCATCCATTGTAGACTTTGGTGAAATTCTTCATCAAGATATTCCAGATCACTTAGGTCACACAATCTATAATAAACAAGAAGTAATTAGAGGATTAAAAATGACCCAGATTATTTTGATGTGTACAAATGAAGAGTAGATGATTATGTGCTACCAAGTCTGTTTCAACTCTTAATACCCACATATGGATTTCTTCAAGATGGTCTATCCATGGTGTTTTTTTAGTAAAATATAGGAATTGTTCGCCACTGCTTTCTCCTGTCTAATATGAAATGAAGCCTTTGCCTTTACTACTAAAGAGATCTTCTGCCTCCAACGCCTTCCTATGTTACTGCTGCCCAATACTGGAGCCTTCTTGCTTTGGCTAGACAGTTGAGATGATTCATGCCTTGACTGACTCTGCTGGGACTGCATGTTCTTCGCATATTCCCAGCATTGTTTACTCATCCCTCTTAGGAGCTACCTCACACCACCTTGGAGGCAGCATAGTAGGACTAGAGCAGGGTAGATAGGTTATTCATTCAATAATAAGGAGAACAAAGGAAGAAATCTGTACAATTATTACCGCTGGAATTCTTTATGCTAAGTCTTCTTTCATACATATGCATGCACATTCATTCATTGGCACATCTTAAAAAACTAAGTAAAAATCCTAAACTTACCAATGAAAACTTTATTTCCATTTTACTAGGAAAATGTTATTTCAATTTTTCCCCCTTTCAGCACCAATTAAAGGGAAATACCTTTCAAACCAATAATTATCAGCAACTGGAATACCCTAGAACAGTGGTGGCGAACCTATGGCACGCGTGCCAGAGGTGGCACTCAGAGCCCTCTCTGTTGGCACACGGGCCACCGCCGCCAGCAGCAGGTGCATTAGGCCACCACTGCTGCCCGGAGCAGGAGCCCCACCCAGCACAAAGGAGGCAAAGCAGCCAACTAGCAAGCTCGAGTAGAGGTGGTAGAGCAGAGGTCACCAACCATTGTCGATTGGTGGACTGGAAGAAAAGGGAGGGGGAAGCATTTTACATGCGTGCACGGGGCCGCGAGCACGCATGTGCTGCAAATGGGGCGGGGCTAGTGCCTGCGTGATACTCACTAGCCCTGCCCCGTTCTTGCATGGTGCAGCGCCTTGTATCTGCACCCCATGGCACGGCTGTTTTTGCGCCTTGCAGTACGGTAGCCCATTTTTGTGCCCCCGGGTTTTGCATGCCAGAGGCGGCACTCAGAAGCGCCTCCCTACCCCCCCCCCATGAAGACACCACAATGCTGATGCGGCCCTGGCACTTTGCGATAAATAAGTGGCTTTTGGGTTGCAGTTTGGGCACTTGGTCTCTAAAAGGTTCGCCATCACTGCCCTAGAACTACAGAGGTCATGATGCTAAATGTGGATACCTTGTAAACTATCCACTCAATATTCATACTACATCAGAACAAACATGTATCTTTGAATTTAGTTCACTGCCTAATAAATGATTCCTGAAGAAAAAAGGACAAAGTATTCTATCAAAAATAGGAAAATAGATATTTATTTCTGCCTCCAAAATAGTTTCCTTGATCAGTACATTAAGTGTAAATACAGTCTGTGATTTTAAAAAAAACTTATATGATTAAATCATTTAATCATTAATCAGTCTATTACAGATATGACCTGCATCCAGATATGTTTTCTGTAAATAAAAATACATTTCTTTCCATATAGAATAATCCTGTCAAATTCCTCTACTCACATTCTGAGAAGGGCTTTATAAAATGGTCGGGTAAAGAAGGCATCTAACAAATATTGATGAATCAGAGCAAGACCAAGGATTCGACCACTAAATCTGAACCTACAAAGAAATTGGAGCACAGTTTAGATTTATTATTTGTCTATTTAAATTTGTTATATATGTTAGTTCAGTTAGTATCTTTGACACTGTTATCCATGTCCAAAATGTAACTTTTGCATTACATTTTCACAAGATCATCATTTCAACATTTAAAATTGTCATTAGTTCGTATTTAAAGGATTTATCATTAAATAAAAGTATCAAAAATATTTGCCATTTGAGATGTAAATACAACGAAGATACTATGCTTATCATTTCATGTGGAAGGCAAATGTTATTTTTTTTTCCTAGTAAATGTTTTGTTCTTGTTTCCTTAATTTCTGTGAATCAATAAAAAATATAGACAACATAAAATTGACACAGTAACAAATTGGGCATCAATGCAATTTCTTCAGAACATGGACAACCTATGTGTTGGAACTGTAACTCCCAGAATTCCTAGGGTGCAAGGCAGCTGCAATCCTCATTTATCGAAGAACACTAGATTGAGGAAAACTGATGTCTAATTTATTTATGGGTAAGATGCCCCCATCAACAACCTATGTAGCATTTTACCCCTGATGCAACTTGAGAGTGAATCTCAAAGACAGTTCCTTGTAAAAAAATGTTGTAATAATGGAACCTGAATTTACCAAGATATATATCATTATGAAGATTATCCCTATCAATAATAATCTTATTGGAGAACCAGGCATAGCTAAAAAAAAAAAAAAGGGAAATCCTTGTTATAGAGGCCACCTGTGTCTCCATTCATAATACGACAGGAAGAACATACCCAAATTAACCAGATGTTCCTTCAGAGGGTATGCAACACTATTCTTCTGAACAGGCAACCTGCCTAATTCCCAGACAAGGAAATTGTCCTAATCACAGACCCTCTATATTATTAGGATTCAGCTTCTGTTCACTGGCTCTCATCCAGCTCATTACAGCATCCAGACAAGAGATTCATCATCTCTCCCGATTCGGAGAGCTAGAGCTTTGTGAACTGATGAAACTGTTTGTGAACTGATGAAAACCAATCAAAAACTTCATTCCCTCCAATGGCTCCATAAAGACAACAACCTACAGACATGAAGTATATGGTGAAAAATACTGATAAATTTTCTTGACATATCTTATGTTGCGCAGTCCTTGAGAACAGCAATGTTTTGTCACCTAAGAAATTGGGCCACTGTTTTGTGCCCCCTTTCTTTCACTTTTTTTTTGTATTCACATAAAGAACTCAGACTAATGAGATGCAGTAAACACTGTTTTCAATCTCTTTCTGGCTGACTTGACTCTGCCTTTAACGTTATTTTGCATTTTATCCTCTAAGAGTTGACAGACTGGGTAACTGTTTTCCTTTCTTAATAGAAACATGGATACCCCAAGAAATGGTACAAAACACATAGCCACTAAGTAGTTTTACTATGTGAGAAGACTTAACATGAGAGAAGTGGGGGAAAGATTATTGCACATCTTACTGAATTAGACTGATTTTTATTTTTTTTTTAAAAAGGACCCCAAACAAAAAAGAGTAGAATAGTCTTGTAATTGATTTTATGCCTTGACAAGCTGAACTTTTGATACTTAGGAGGCAGCAGAGCTCCGAAGGGTTCAATCATGCCTAATTCTAGTGTTATCTGCTTAGGTTGGCAGATAATTGGGTATACCATGAAAGCTTCAGGAGTGCTATTCCAAAACCTTTCAATCTATTATTTGAAAAGAGAGATATACCTGACTGACCTTACTTGAATCTTTCATAGTAAATGAGCAAGGAGGGCACAATCTATGCTCTATAAAAATAACAGTATTTCTGTGATTCAGCATTCTTACCATTCATGGTGATTGTCGACAAAAGCAGACATTGGACTAATTTGTACAGTGTATGTGTCGTTGGCTGAATATTCAAATAAACCATAGTATGGGTTGAAGAGTTCTCTTGATACCAGGAAAAAAAACTCCCTTGAAGGTCCACTGTAGTCCAGTCTTAAAAACAACAAAACATAAAAGGATACTATACAAATGGATTTTTTAAAACAAAAATTAAAAAAAAAAATCATTCACCCCCTCCTCCCCACACTCAATAATTTCTGATCCTTTCGGTCATCTTTGTGTACCTTCTGAACTTTTCATTTAATGACCACTTATACTGCTTTGAATGTTACTAAGCTAGTTAGTGGTACATTAGCTTAGCAACTTTCAAAGCACTGATTTCTATTTTGGAATTTATGAAGATGCTGATTTATTATTTTTCATCCACCCAGACATAATTGTATCTCTGGGATTTAAAGGCACGGATTATTCAAAATTTCCTATGAAATAGCTTGCAATATGTAGGTTTGGGTTAACTGTACTTCATTCCAATCCTGAAATGAGTGAATCTTTATTCTTAAAGTTAAAATCCAGTTCTGGATTAGGGTTTCATAAATTAGGTTCTGCCAGTTTTAATGCTGGAAATAACAGATAATTGTTGAAAGTCTCCTTTACAAAGCTCTTAAAAGAAAAATAGCCATTTTCCTAACAAGGTCTTCAAGAAGATATGGGATATTCATGCTACCTTGCCAATGGCCATTGCAGGCAGGTTCACCAACAAATTGTTATATGCTGTATAAAGAAGAGTTGATGCATACCAAATAGCATTCGACTGCATTGGAAATCTGGCAGTACACACAATTTTCTGCAGATCATATATTTTAATACAGTCCAAACTTGCAAACTTGAATTAGGAGCTTCAAACAGCTTCACAATCTCCATTACAGGTAATCCTAGGCTTACAATCACAAATGAGCCCAACATTTCTGTTGCTAAATGAAACATTTGTTCAGTGAGTTTGCCACATTTTACGACCTTTCTCGCCACAGTTGTTACGTGAATCACTGTAGTTGTTAAATTAGTCAAACTGTTGTTAAGTGAATCTGGCTTCCCCATTGACTTTGCTCATCAGAAGGCCTCAAAGGGGGAATCATGTGACCCCAGAACACTGCAACCGTCATAAATATGAGCCAATTGCCAAGCACCTGAATTTTGATCATATAACTGTGTTGATGCTGCAACAGTTGTAAGTGTGAAAATTGTTCAGAAGTCACTTTTTCCGATGCTGTTGTAACTTTCAACGGTCACTAAATGAACTGTTGTAAGTCGAGGACTACCTGTTCTTGGGGGGGAGGGTAAACCAGATCATATCATTTACTGCTTGCAATTCTTAAAGATGAGACATCACAAGCCAATATTTCTTTTAATATGAAAATGCAAGTCACAGGACACTATTAAATATCTGAGAACACTAAGTAAACTGCCACAGATTCTGTTGCCCACAGTTTCCTGGAAACAAAAAATAATTACATAGAAGCTTACTTTTCTTTGTTATAGAATACAAGCTAGTATGTTCAGTGTAGTAAATACAGGCATAAGAGATGGTAGGAAAACAGTGAGCAAATTAAAGCATTGTTTTTCCAGATAAGAATTTTTTTCCTCTGTTTTGCTTTAGCATTCTCATCCCCCCCAACTGTTTAAATCATTATGTAATATAAGATCTCTATTATAAAAGCCAAATCTGCCAGTCAGATAAGAAATTCATCTGTTAAGATTTTTAGCTGTTCAATCTCTTTCTAGATTTGTTCTTCTTGCCCAATGTGTATCCATAAGCAAGCCATTATCATAGAGAGCAAATGATGGACAAATATGTATGAGAATGTATTTGATGTGTGTCCTGCTCTTATGATAGGGACATCTTTTGGTGAGAGGATATAATGTTTAACTAGAACTTTTTAGCAATATTTGTTAAGCACTTTTTAATTTGAAAAATAAAATGTTTGATCATCTCTTACGAAGAAAAAGTGATGCACATCCGATCTATGTTAAATGCTATGTATTTTTTAGTATTTCAAACCAATATTTTATCATTACATCTTTTTTCTTTGGGAATAATCCAAATTTACTTTGAGCTCTTTTCTGTTTTATATTTTTTCTTTCTTTGAAGTGTTGTATTTTATTAAAAGAACTACCGTTCATTTAGCATGTTTGCGTATAATGGCCAAACATAGTGAATGGTTAGAAATTAAATGAAACTCATTTCCCAGATGAGAGTTAAGTGGATATATATTGAAGAAATCATCTGTCATTGTTTAACCAGCAGGGAATGAAGCCGTTCTTTATTGACTTGCATTTAAATAAGATTCAGTGAATACTTTGCAATAAACCATATTCCGCATATAGTTTGGTCCTTGCTTTATTTTTTACTGCAATCATCAAGGAGAGTCCCAATTCATGTAAATATGATGCTATTTTCCCCGTCAAAAGAGAATTGTTGGCTTCAGAAGCTGAAAAACGGAAATCCCACATAACAATTCTATAGGTAATAAGAAGGCTTTAACACCAGGAATTACTGCATCCACAAAAACTCAACAGTTCATAATATCCATGATTTATAGTCATTGTATTTCTAGTTAGAAAAATTTATTTTATCTGAGCTTGACTGCATTTTTTTTAAACTGTTTATTTGGAAATAGCTGCATATTTTCTAGATCGTAGTCAGTGGTGGGATTCAGCCAGTTCGCACCAGTTCAGCAGAACCGGTAGCTAATTTTTTGTTGCCCAGGCCCAGAATGGACTTCCAGAAGCGGCATCCACACAAAGAACCGGTTGTTCACATATTTGAATCCCACCACTGATAGTAGCTATAAATTCTGTAAAAACATTGAAGGGAAGAGGTTAATCCTATTCTTACAAGAGTTTTGAAACAAAGTTTTTGGAAGGTTTGTTGCAATTCAGCCTGTTTTACATTTTGCTTACATTGCTTATGGATATATGTCTTGTTATTAACCACCTCACACACAAGAGTATTAGGGCAGAAACACTACATAAAAACAGTTATATTTTTATGGGGAAGTATTGGTTGCTTCATACAATTTTTTTAGTGTTACCGCACAGAAATATAGTATTATCTCCCTTCCTGAACATACTATGCTCATGTTACTTGTCATGAAACAGAGCAATAAAGAAATATGAACATCACATAACCATAATTAGAGTTAAATTGCCCATTATCTTTATTGATGGCAACTTACACTGAGAGCCTAAGCATCAAATCCAATTATTATGAAGCTCACCTGATGCCCAGCATCCTCTTTGGTTGAACATTAAGAACAGGGCAAGAATTTTGAACCTTTCAACTTGAGATGGTGTCACAAATTATCTTGTCTCTCAAGTTATGAAGATGAACTGACCTTTAAGATCCACCAAGACCCCTTCTTTTTTTTAGTGAAGTGGGATGCCTGCTTACACCTGAAATGGGTCCGGCCCAATAATTGGTTGTGACACAGACCCTACCCCACCCCCAAAAGGAACCAAACTGTATAAAGAGGGTAAAACCTCTCCAACCTGTTTCATCTAAAATTCCTTTTCAGTTTGGCCCTAATTGAAAGTACAGAAAGGGACAGCGTTAAATCCCTGCATTCTCTGGTGTCCCAGCACCCAAAGACCACACAAAATAACATCCTGGATGAGCAGGACCCCAAGATGATGAATGAAATTACCTTTACCAAGGGGGAAAATCCTGACAAAGCTATAGTTATTAGAGGTTACATGTATTCCTCACCAGCATGTCCCTCAACACATACATTTTAATTTTAGCATCTAGCAACTTTCATACAGCTGCTTAATTGGTTACCTGTTGAATCGTTTATGTGTTACAAGAGATTATGACATGCAAGTTTCTTGTTCATCCAAAGGCTTTGCATTAAGAATTATTATAACCAATGTTTGCAACAACAGCTACAAGGATATATGTTTACTATTACCACACCTCACAAATTACTTCTTGAATACACAATCTGATTATTAAAGCATAAAGATGTCACCTAAAAATAATCTCACTGCAACAGAGATGTTCTGCATGTTTTGAATCCACATTGTTTCTAAAAATTTGGTCATGAAGAAATTGATGATCACTGTTTGGATATTCAAACAATTCAACAAAACAAACAAAAGTTGAAATGTGGTGGAAATCTTTTAAAAGTTCTGTGATTTGTTTGGCTAATTTTTTAAGCAAACTGAGCTATTTTATGTTTAGATGCTTTATCACTGACAGCTCTTCTCAAAAGTACTAAATATAGGGATAGGGAGAAAAATGTATAATTTGTTCAGTTAATTTATATAAATGATGGCAAAATTCACTTTGGTTCCTTAAGAACAGGCATGTCAAACTGCGGTCTGCAGGCCAGATGCGTAATGCCAAAGCCGTGCCCACCCCATTTCCGGCAATGGGGGAAAAGTCGCAATACATCATGTGATGTCGCGAGTTTGACATGCCTGCTTAAGAACATTCTGTAACTACTTGAGTACATTTACTGAAATCAAGATGTCTGGTAGCACCTTTCCCAGGTAACAAATTTAGGATGAGATGGGGTGGAAGGGTGGAGTTAGATCAATCTGTCTTCTCCTCCCTTCCACATTATTTCACTTTTGTTTAAATCCTACATCAGGCTAACCCACAGGTCAGCAACCTGCGGCTCCAGAGCCACATGCGGCTCTTTGAGCCTTCGCCTGTGGCTCCCAGCCTCTTCTGCCATTTGCAGAGAGAGACAGAGACAGAAAGAGGCACTTGCGCTTCCCCCCCCTCTGTGTGAGTGTGTGTAAAAAATAGAGTGGCCTCACCCTGTTCTACGAGCTGAAAAGCTTATTGGGCGGGGCTCCTCCTTTGCTGCGTCTCTGCAGGAAGCAGGAAGGGGAGGAGAGAGCCAGCCTGTTGCAGAACAGCTTGAAGCCAGCTTGCCAGATGAGCAGAAGATCAGAGAGAGGGAGAGGGGGGAGAGAGAAAGAGAGAGAGAGCAGAGAGAAAGAGAGAGAGAAAAAGGGAGAGGAGAGAGAGAGGAGAGAGAGAGAGAGAGAGAGAGAGAGAGAGGAAGTGCAAGTGCCCTCTCTCTCTTTCTCACACACACACACACACACACTGAGTGGGGGAAGAGGACTGGCAGACCAAGGGCAGAAAGAGAGGGAGAGGGAGGGAGGGAGAGAGAGACAGAGAGAGAGACCCTTTTGACATCTAAAATGAAGATAACACTGCATTTATCTTTTTTTATCTTTATGATACACATACATACATACGTACGTACGTACGTACGTACGTACGTACGTACGTACCTATAATAAAGGTAAAAAAGGATATATGCAGAGTTATCTTCATTTTAGAGATCAAAAGGGTTTTGCAGCTCCCATGTTTTGTTTTTGGTGGGAAACAGGTCCAAGTGGCTCTTTGAGTGTTTTGGGTTGCCTTGATTTTTAATAAAGTGTGTTAGCTAGGAGAGATGTTCTCAGATTCCATCACATGGTTCCCTTCCTACAGTCATCACATTCATGGGAATTGTTAATACGCTATTTCAGAGTTTATCCATTTTACTCATAGTATTGCTATTTCTGGATGTTTTCTAACATTTTCATACTTTTTAATTATCTTGAGATTCATCTTGCCTTTCTTGTCCTTAAAACACTGCAGCCATGAGTCACAGTAGCCTCTACTTTGTGTTTCCAAGAACACTTTCTTTTAAGTGTTATTTTCTATATAAACACCTGGACTATTTGGTACATTCTAAAATAACATTCAGTTGTAAAAGCTTTTTATTAAATAATATCCAAATGGCATGATTCTTATTTCCTGTAAAGAACAAGATTTTGGACAGAACTAGCAGACATAATAAAGTAATATACAAACTGGTTTTATTTATTTATCCTTATCTCTATGCCTCCCACTTTGTAAGACTCCAAGCAACTCACAAAGTAAAAGAATTGTCAAAACATCACATCTACAGAGTCATAAAACATCATCCAAATAAAATCATAAAAGCAAATTTATTGCCTGTAAGAATGAAGGTAGATACTTCTAAGTATAGAAGGATGATGAAGCACGAACAGGCCTTCACTTAAAACTTTTACACTGCACGATAGGAGGGTGGTAAGAAAAGAAGCAAAACCTGTGAAGAGATGCTGCCCATGTAATTCAGAAGTTTCATGATTTAAACAGCAAATGTGTGAAAGTTATAAATAAATATAGATGTGTGATGGAAGGAGCTTCATCCCTCCCTTACAGATTGCAATTATGTAAGATTGTATGCTGAACACTTTCAAATTGACCCAAATTATCTAAGGACTTAGTATCAATCTTCATCAATCATATGTCTAAAATAGCTACAATCCAGTCCAATCCTTCAATGCAACCATCTTTTTTTTTACATTGCAGAGAGAGATGGCAGTGCAGCATGCAGGACTAAAATCTTATCAGAGCAGCTTTGATAGAAGCTCAATATGTGCCAATGTGATGCTTTCTAAAGAACTCACATGTCAGAAAATCAGCACTATCTGGACAGCTGTAGATGCTAGGCTTATAAAAGGCATTTCCTGGCAGTAATTCTTCCTCATTTCTGCTCTAGACCACAAAGAGCGCACTAAAATATCTGCACACAGCTGCAAAACAAAGCATGTATTAAATATACATTATGTTGATAGTCACTTCCTTCTACTCACCCTTCCTCTCCAACAAATGTGACATACAATTTATTCCTTTGTAGGTCCTTTCTTGAATAACCCATAATTTGATTGAAGGCATCTTCCAGCAAGTGGTCTCTTCGGATAATTAATCTGTGCAATGAAACAAATCAAATCACATAAATTCATGATGATATTTATTTTTCCTGCTTGGTTATTTATTTATATTCAGCTTATAATGACCCTCCCTTCAGCTATATGCATCAAAAAAGATAGAGGCAGAACTACTAGACCACAGACAAATATTCATGATATTTCAATGTCTGGAAGTATCCTTAATATGCATATTCTAAAATATTACCAAATGGACAAGGCAAATTTAAATTTCAATAATAAACAGGGATGCAATAAAGAGAACTAGATACTTGGAAAGCCATTTGTTGAGCAAAAATAATTCATCAGATTATCCGATTTATGCATTAATCCAATTATAATATTCATGTTTCTTAGGAATTCTCTTCTGACATATTTAGACATAGCTGGGGAAACAATAGTCAAAATGCTTATATAATGTGAATTAACTCAGAAGTGGGAATATAAATTGTTCCAAGTTTTTTTAAAAAAATGTTGCATTTGTCTCATTTTTCGCCTTTTAGCTAAAGCACATACTTGTGAGGAGAAGAGTAAATATTAGTGCATGGGGAGCAGCTTGGAATGGAACATTAGTTTGGTTATAAAACAGATGAAGGAAGAAAAGCAATCTTTAGTTATTGCAATTTCTCTATCCAAGTTCAGTTTCCCATAACAGATTTTTGTTTTAAAGAAGATCTAGCTTAACGAAGAGAAGGACAAGGGGGGACATGATACCAGTGTTCCAATATCTCAGGGGCTGCCACAAAGAAGAGGGAGTCAAGCTATTCTCCAAAGCGCCTGAAGGCAGGACAAGAAGCAATGGATGGAAACTGACCAAGGAGAGAAGCAACTTAGAACTAAGGAGAAACTTCCTGACAGTTAGAACAATTAACCAATGGAACAACCTGGCTCCAGAAGCGGTGAATGCTCCAACACTGGAAGTTTTTAAGAAGAGACTGGACAGCCATTTGTCCGAAATGGTGTAGGGTTCCTGCCTGAGCAGGGGGTTGGACTAGATGACCTCCAAGGTCCCTTCCAACTTTATTATTATTATTAAGTCCTGTCGTATGCCTGAGAGATAATGGCTAATTTCATCCCAAACACGAAGTATATATAGCTTTCCTACATTCTGTCCCAAATGCTAACCATTGTAATGTATTGTTTTCATTTATGTTCTGCCTTCCAAATGTTTTATTTATGTTAGATATATACAGGAGTCCCTTCATTCTAGATGGCAATAATTACCACATATGCTTATGTTAGCCACCAGGGTTACGCAGTGAGTTGAACTCAAAAGCAAATTGTGATAGGCAGCAGACATAGCACATTCAGCACTTGTCAGGAGCAACTCAAACCAGCCATGCAAGTTCAGGAAAATACCAGCTGTCTTAAAATCTTTCCAACAGGTGCTGCGTAAGCTCTTTTACTTTTAAATAGCAAAGCAAATAATCTAGCATCTCTATGTACTTCAATTTCCCTGGGCCTTGTCCATATCCTTTAGTCTCCAACTTCCTGTAGAAATTTCTCAGCTTGGCTTCAAAGTCTCTTTTATAAGGAGCTGGAGCACGGGCATTAGCACGCTGGGTACCTGCACCACAGTCAGAAAACAAGATTTTGTTAAAATATTATCAAATAAATAAATAAATGTTACATAATGATGTAAAGCTGCACAATGATATCACATTGCATCACATATGAGGAGAAAAGATAAATCATGGCATAGAGGTAAGCTACACAGTGACTTATTTTTTTAAAAAAATGTGTTTTATTCGGGGGGGGGGAGAGAAATAAGATGACTAGCTAGAACTTTTAAATATTGTTCATTTACTATCAATTAGTTCTAGAACACAAACCCAGAAAACTTAATTCAACTCACTGCAATTACAGCATGTGGGTGATTTTAAATATTTATAAGCTACTAAAAGAACCAGAATGACAAACAACGGACAAAGGGAGTGTTATTGTTTTGCATAGATCTATCATGTCATAAAAATTTAATTTAATTTAGCTGAAAAACAGATGAAAATAACTTCTTCCTTAACCATCATGTGGAAAAATGAAAGTCACATATCTTAAATTCAACCATCAACGGTTATTCACAAGCAAAATCTCTGTTTAAATTAAAAGCAAACTGAATGAAAGAAAAAAAGCATTATGAGCATCAGAAACTTTCACACTCTTGCTGTGCAATCTGAAAGAGGTTTATTAAGAAGAAAACCACAGATACCAGACAAGTAGGAATAGGATTTGTACCCCTTTCGTGCAAAAAAATTGCTATAAAATACCTATGCTTCAATAACATTCTAACCTGAAGTCACAGAATCTTACTTTTGAATTTATTGCTTGAAAAACAGCATTGCTGCTTCTTTAAAAATTCAAACCTGGATTTATTTCTAGTCAACTATAGACATAGTTAATTCCAATGAAAGACAGTAATTACTTAATTGTTTCTGCTATTTGCTTCTGATATATATGGTACAAGACAAAACTCATGTTTAGCTTTGAAAGCTAACTCAAGTCTTGCGTTTCTCAAATGAGATGTCAGTGCAAAAAATCTCCTACGTTTATTGTATACAACCACATTTGCAGTTACTGAGACTTGTAAGCAAAGCAATCCACAACTGGTATTTTTTAGAGGAAACTTTAGTAAAACCCACTTCCTATTTCAGTCTTTTGTCAGCTTAAAGATTTCAAGCATAGAAATGACTGACACGATGAGCAAGCTGATCTGAATAAATCAAATATATTTTACTTTCGGACTCCAGGATGTCTTCATTCAGCTTCTTTGTATAATTCCTTTGCCTCCTGGATTTCTAAGATTTTGAAGCATGCTACCACACCTCAGAAATTGAAATAGTTCTGTAGCTAAAGTGAAATATCACAGCTAACAAACTCCTTTGTTTATAACCCAAAATGGAAAAGTCAAATTTTGGGCAAAAACATTTATTATGTATAAGGTCATACATAATAGGAAAGCACTTCAAAATCAGATTGATTATGCTTCATCCAGACATTTATTGGGAAGAATATTCAGACAATGCTGTCATCCATTTATAATCCACCCTTTTCCCCCCACTGTTTCTCCTTCACCACCACACAAAGAAAAAGAGAGCAGTTGTACAATTCTTTTTCACAGGTCACACTAGGAAGGGTGAGAAAGATGTTATAACATGAAATCTGACTTTTCAGCAGTGCCTCCAAAGATTAACTCCACAACTTTATTGGTATTAAATAATCCTAGCTATTTCTAATTTGTTAAAAAGAAAAGACACATTACTTCCGAAAGGGCATAGGATAGCTGTAAGGGAAAGAGCATTAGTGATTTCAGACTTGTAATAATGTTGGGTGCGGAGGAGTGGAGAAACAGGAATATTAACAAGAGGTGGAAGTAGATCTCAGGCTACACATTTATGCACGCTTCCTAAACAGCTTTTTCCAGTCTGACGCCCTCCGTGTAGGTTGAACAACAACTCCCAATTATCTAAGTTGATAGTTGGAAAAGCTATTTTAAGGGATAATTTGCAATGAAATCAATGAGACTTACTTCTCAGCAGATATCCATATGACAGTACTGCAAAAATTTAGACAATAGTTCTTCAGAGAGCTTAAAGTGGTTTTGAAGAGATACCACTTTTCACAAGCCATATATTTCTTAACCTTGGTATCATTTCTAATTTTTACTACCAAGGGCTCTTGAACAGCAGTCACAGGATTAGAAGAGAGATGATTTCCTGGAATAGAAACTGGCTAAAGGACAGAAATCAAATACAATTTTCAGATTGGTGGTATGTTCAAAGCCAGGTTCAAAGGCATTAGTACTGAGAATGGTAGTCCTTAATTGGTTAGGACTAACTAGTAATGTGGCTAATTTTATTAATGACACTGTTCATTTATTACAATCAAATCAAAATTGTGAACAGTTCTCAAAATAGCCAATTTAGCAGTCCAATTTAAGCCAATGCAAAATGATGTACATTGGCAAAAAAAATACTTAATGATTTATATGACTTGAGATCATTTGCTACTGCTAAAATTGAATTCTGAAGTGATAAAAGTAAGTTCTTCATGATGCTATATCTGATGATGGCCATCTATCCAAAAAGGATTGATTCGAACAGGCTTGGATTAACAAGGACTACAGGTCCTGAGGACAGGTTGATAACTCTAAAAGCCCAATCACCAGCTGCTACTATGGAGTAGTAGTGAAGGATTGCTACGGTCCATATTTGTGAACTTTTTTAAAGCATCTGCTTGGGAAGTGTGAAACAGAATTAGGTCTGTTGACCTAATTAGCAGGATCTTATATTCAAAGGCTGAAAACTATAGTAACAAAATGTACTGCATAGTTATGAGAAAATTTGCACACTACAAGCAATGACACTTAAAAAATTGTGATCTTATCTTGACTCAAGAAAAGAAAGCTTTATCTACATTCATTAAATGCTAAAGTAAGATGCAAAATTGCAGGCAACACTTTCAAATTTGCAATCATTCTTTATGATGAAAGATATACATAAAGAGATTAATTCCATGTGCACTTTGGAATGCATTAACTAAAACACATGCATGATGCCCCACAGCAGACAATTTGCATACAGTAAATATTAAAACAAATGGGCAATTATATTTCCCCAAATACAATGTGTATTGTCTAAGCACCCTGTAAGCATCCCTAAAGGATCTTTAAAAGACTTTTCTATATAGACTGGGACTATAACTAGTAACAATTCTCCATGGCTGGCTGGGGAATTTGGGTAGTTTCAGTCCCAATATACCTGGAGGTTCCAGGTGGAGAACGCTATTCTAGGTGTATCAGTCCCTAGGTTGTAGACAGTTTGCTTAAAACTTATAAAGACAGGTCCAAGCAGACAAAACCTGGTAATGTTAATTTGAAGAGAATGACAAGTATCATTCCTGTAGTTGATGCAACGATATATAATTGTGACAGTAAGGTATTCCATGTGACATGTTTTTTTTCTGTCTTATCTTACTTAATGAAACGTGATAGTGCACATGCAATGGTGTAAGTCCTGTGAGAGACTGCCTTCCTAGTCAGTTACATCTCATGATTATTACGCAGTTATAATTGCGTTACAAAGAATGTTATGTGCATAGTTACCTGATTTTCTACCATCCTCCCTAAGCTGTATCCCTAACTGGGCTCAACATTTGGTAGCCTCAATATTCTGGGTAAGCGAAAAGAACCAGCATGCTGTTGGCAGCAGACAGCCTATTCTTATCGTGAAGCTGGTACCTTTATACACTAAAAAGGGAACAGATAGGTCTGCTTGGCTGGCAAGGGAACCCAGTTTGGCAGAAAAACGGGTTGCCTTCAGATTCCCTTTGGCAGTAGTAGGGAATTAACAACATTAAGCTGACCCAAGACTGACATTTCCAAACAAGCTGCATAACCATCAAAAGTGTGCACACATCCTTTCCACACCTCCTCATTTGTGCTGTTAATTGCTGCATCTTGGTAACAATGACAGAGTTAGCAGTCTGATATCTACATCGGTGATGTCATTTTGACAATCAGGGAAGTAGGCAAATATAATTTCACTACCAATCTCTGTTCCTGCCAGAAAGAAGGTCATTAACCAGTCAAGCTACGGAATTCTACAATGTATATCCTCAAGGATTTAATTTATGCTTCTTTCTCATTTTTCCCCATAGCAAAAGCTACTTAAAAAAGAAAAATTCAGAACTGCAACAATATGAGGAGTTGATCATGTTGATCAAGTAATGAATCAATCATAGATTGGTCCATTTTAGAATGTATTACTTGATTGCAGTTGAAATTGCCCACAGACTTTCTTTTGTACTTGATATAGTTCACCACTACCACCCAAAGTCAGGTTAGTTTCAAAAATATCATTTTGAAAATCCCTCAAAACCCGAGTATGTCACCAGGCCTGGGGATCCCAGGAAAATGGAGACATTCTTAGTTTCATTGTGACTGATCTTTTTACTCTCTGTGTGTGGTTTATATATTTTAAACATTTGATAGTTCTTCATTTTTATATTGCATAATGGTTGTATTTTTATATACTACTGTAATTAATGTGTTTAATAAATGAATAAACAAATAAATGATACCCGACTGTATATCTATGCATGAACACACAGAGACCCAAAATTCCTACATTTGTCTTATGTTGAAGAAAATATCACGTTCAGATGATGAACGTGAAAGAAATAAACTAATTTGGGGACCTTATTTGTTTATCCAGGAATTTGTTACAAAAAGTTATGCCAAACTAACCTAATTTCTTTTTTTTACAGAGTTAATGGCTTAATAGAGTGCACTGAGCAAGGGGTTGGACTAAATGAGTTACCTTGTACACAATATCAGAATATCCATAATACACGATTATCAGGTCCTGCTGATGTTGCCAAATTCAGTCACTTTAAAATAAAGCCTTTGGGTTATGTTAATAATTGTGAGATTCTGTATTAATGATTATTATGTTAAAGAAATTTATTTTTCTGTCTTTTCCTTAGCCAAAAAGGAAAAGAGAAAGTACATTTCTCCTTTCATTCTTTCTACCTTACCTTTTATTAATGATTTCCCAAACCCTGAAGTGAAATTTTGATTTTGTTTTCTTTTAATTTGGCTTTCCCCCCCAAAACAAGGATTCCTGGTTGACTAAGCAACTCACCCCTCCTCTTTTTCTCTTTAACCCCCCCTTTTTATTCAGAAGGTATCCAGCTCTATCATCTCCTTCAAACCAGTAGGCAAGAAGTGACTCCTTTTTCTCATGAACTCAATCTCTGTAAAACTGAAATACGTTTGAGAAATACATTTATAACATATATTTTTGCTACTTTGTGGAATGACTGCAACTCTCTTTTTTAATTGTTTACTTTTATTGCCATTATTCAGGACCTATTTAAATTCTTAGTTTGAGAACTGACTTGGGAAGATTCATTTTACATTAGATGAAATGCTCCTAAATTATCTTTTCAGCACATGATAAGTCCTTACGACAAATCAGCTGGCACTGTCAAGAATTTCCTGGGCAATTAAAGCAATTATTTCCATCCTAAGAATAACAAGAGAATTGAGCTGTTATTAAAATAAATTACCCATATTATATACGTCTCTCTCTTTCTCTCATTATAAGCACTGCATGCACATGCTTTTGCATGCTGATAAGTTAGCATTTTATAAATAATTAAGTAATTTTATGGTTATTTGTGTAATCTAAATTGGAGCATAAAACTGACTGGGAAAAGAGATCTGTGATAAACTTCTTTCCTTTATGAAGTGAATCAAGAGATTAATTAATCACTCATATTAAAACACACAAATGATTTCAATTATGTAATAAATCATAGGTAATTAACAGAAGGTGCTGAGGGTTTCCCCCTCCCAGAAAAATAAAACAAACTATATTTAACTGCAAAAAGCTCCAATATAAATTATCAAATTTTTTAATAAAATGATCCTTATCAGGTTAATCTATAACCATTCAAGAAATTATGTTAGATTGAAAACTGTTTATTAAAATTAGGGTTATTGGTTTTTCCAAAAAAAAAAAGCACAGGCAAATAAATATTTTAAAATGAATGAATTCTATTCCATATTTTAGTGCTTTCTTATTGTATAAAGATTTGCTAATACAGCATCTGTAGGAAAAGATGCCTAAGAAATCATAGTTGAGGGACAATGTGTGTGTGTGTACACATACAGAAGATAGAATGTCAAAATCCATTTTACAAAGCCTAATAATTTAATTAATTTATGCCTCAATGTATTCTTTTCGACTGTTCTTATCCCAGGATATCATCTTCCACTGATGGAAGAAGATACCGCAGTCGTTGTTTAAATTCTTCCTCTATGTACAGAAGAGATCTAAAAATAATTAATGTTTTTTTTAATATTAATGGCAGAATACTGCTATTCCCACAATATAGAATATGTTTTCTTCATTCTTTAAAACCATCTTTCTGAGAAATGTTATATAAATGTCTGAAATTAACAGCAAAGAATTCATTTAATCTTAAGATCACAAACATTATTTTCCTGCATTTCATAAGGAAGGCCATGAAACCAGGCGAGAACAAACCTTACCTGGTTCACCATCTAAAAACACTGCAAGCATTTGCGGTAGAGCTCACCTGGAGAGTTCTGAGGAGAGGACACAGGGGACCCACGTGGTGACTGACAATAACTGGGATGAAGTAAGGCATGTGGTGGTACATATGACATAATTTCCTCTTCAAATAAACTAGGCAGAAAGTAAGCAAAAATAAAGCTGATATACAAATTGATTTAAATATGCCACATGTGATATTTTGTAGGAATATTATATATTCCTATATACACCAAGCAACATTATGTTGATTTCTTTGAAAGACGGCACATTTGCATCTGAAAATGTCAAAAGCTACAAGTGAAAAAAATAAAAAGGTTTTAAGTGTACCTTCCCTGTTCCAAGTGTTTCCACTGGAAATATCTTTATTTGTTCTAAAGTGCTATCAGGTTACCACAGTCTACCACAGTCTATATGCATTCATGCTTTGCCGCTTAGGCCACACACACAAAGAATACTTCTGTATGTCCCACCAGAAATATGTAATGCCAATAGCTAATTCTGCTTTTTCTGCAGAATTGTAAAATAAGTTGCAATGTGGCAGGCCCTCTCATTGTTTTTTAGGTAAAGGTAAAGGAGACTTCTTTAAATATACCTTTTTATCTAGGCTTTTTTTAGAATGTCTTTCAAGATTTAGTTTTAATATTGTTTTATAATTTTAAAGGTTTGTAGAATTTTATGTTACATTTATACCCCGATAAG